CTAAAAACAAGTGCGGCAAGTCGGTATCTTCACAGACTATGTGAAGCCACAAACTGTTTATCCAGCATTTGTCCAGGAGAGAAAGTTCCAGAATTGTGGTATCCACTACTGGGACAAGCAATAAGGAAGTGCTCAGAGGCAGACAACCCCAGACTGGATCCTGGTCTAGCCTTTTCCCAGTGGCTTAACCTCTTTATTGCTGCATATGTAAAGGTACAGAGGCATGAGAATACATGGTGCATCCTGAGATGTGCAAAAATCAGGGGTAGGAATAACTAGGGTATACAGTTGGGTGTGGCTGGGGTCTGATCACAGTGGGCCATATACGCCACGTTAAGGAATTTGGATCTCACCCAGAAGATAACGGAAAGCCATGGAGGGATTTTCAGTAGGGAAGCGGCACTGTTGGATTTACATTTTCGAGCTGACTGGTAGCCGTGTGGAGGGTGGGCCGAAAGAGGGGAAGAACAAGAGGCAGTGAGGGATTAGAGGGAGACTGAATGAGAAACCACGAAGGCCTGAACCAAGGCAGAGACAAGGAAGAAGGCACGCTGGACAGCGTGTGAGGCAGGATGTACAGGACCCCACGACTGGATATGGAATACGGAGGAGAGGGCAGAGCCGCTGGCTTCTGGTTTCTAAGTGAACAGTCATCCCATTCAAACTTGTTCAAAACCGAGCTCCTGATTTCCCTGCTCGTTCCCACCTTTCTCATATCAAGTCAGCGGCAATTCTATTTTTACTGTTGCCCCTGGCAAATAACTGGGGAGTTGTTTACCTCTTTTTCTTTTATTCTGCATAACTGAATCATTAACAAATCCTGTTGTCACCTTTAAAATACACAGACTCTGACTCTTTCCCATTATCTTTACTGCTAACACCCAATCCACTACCATCAAGCCTCCTCACTGGTCCTCTTGAAGACTATTCTCTATGTAACAGTGACTTGTTAAAAATGTTCAGCTCATGAACTCTGCTCAAAACTCTCTAAGAGCCTCTATTTTACTTGTAATGAAATCCAAAGTCCTTACCATGGCTTCAAAGTTCTGCCTGAGCTGAGCCCGTTACCTGCCTCATCATCTAGCCTACAGCTCTTCTTCTGGTTTCGTAAGCTCCAGCCACACTGGCCACTGTGCTGCTCTGCAATGTGGCAAGCACACCTGCCTCAAGGCCTTTGCCCTTGTTCCCTCTGCCTGACTGCTTCCCCTCTCCAAGTATCTGTATGGCTTGTTCTTTCCTCGTTCAAATGTCCTCTTACCAGCGGGCTTTCCTAGCCACAGCCTATGAAATAGCACCTCTGTTCCCTGTGGATCACTCTCATGCCCTTTGCTCTGGTATTCCCTGACAAAGTACACATCTGCTTAACGAGGGCAAGGACATTATCCATTTTATTCACTGCTACATCCTAGTGCCTAAAATAGTGCCTGCATTATTGTACACGCTCCCTAAATACTTCTGGAATGAATGAATAAACACAAGAGGAAGAGATTTTGGAAGAAAAACAGAGTTCAGTTCTGAATGTGTTCGGTTTGAAGCATCCACATGGGACATTCAGGGAGAGCCACAGAAGTTTATTTATAGGTCTTGAAAAGAATTTTAAATAGTAACGATGGTGATATTATTAAACAAGTAATAAAAACACTTGTTATGTTTCAAGCACAGTGCTCAGTACATTAAAGTCATTTCATTTTCGTAAGAGCTTGGCAAAAGAGGTATTCAAATTACTGCCAACAAGGGAAAAACGTTCTCAAGGGTTCAAGATTGGAAAACTTTACACAACATTGTAAAATGACTATAACTCAATAAAAAAGTTAAAAAAAAAAGATTGGAAAACTTTAGACATCCATGTGCACTCGAGTCAGGGAGACTGTGCTACAGGAAAGGACTACCCATGAATCTTTCTCCCTGTTAATTTTTTACCTTTTCTTCCTTCTCACCTTCATGTACTTGTTGAAGACAGTCTGGATCTCCTCATTGATGCTAGGCTGCAGGACAGCTCGGAGGAGATCCATGGAGATGGCAGGATCTGTGAAGCTGCATTCAGGAGGGAGACACAGGTCAGGAGGCATGTCCCAAACTTATCCTTTCCTAGTCTGTCCAGCCAACTATAGACATAGGATCCCTGAACAACAATAACAGACAGCTTTTACTGAAAACTACCTATTGTCCAGGTTCTGTGCAAACCACACAGATGCACCACTTCATTTCATTCTCATAACTCTAGGAAATGGGTATTATTTTAAAAGTGCTCTATGAAGTATATTAGTCATGCAGATAAAGTCTATATGCTTTAACAGTTTTAGTGAACATTCACTTAATCACTACCCAGGTCAAGAAATATATATAATCAGCATCCCAAAGACCCATCCTGTGCCCTCTCTTCTCCCTGAGATGAATATTATTAGCCCCCACATTTTTCTTGTTTTCTTTTTTAATTGCAGTATAGTGGATTTACAATGTGTGAGTTTCTGGTGTATAGCACAGTGATTCAGTTATACATATATTCTTTTTCAATATAGGTTATCATAAGATATTGAATATTGTTTGCTGTCCTATACAGTAGGACCTTGTTTATCTCAGCCCCACATTTTTCTTAACTTCCATGCTATTCTGACTCTTTGAAGCTTTCAAACACAGAGCCAGTGAATGTTAGGGATCTTAGGCATTGTTTAATCAACCTGCCCCCTCATTCTGTACATGAGTTCAGAGTGGGAAGTGACTTGCTCAAGGTCACACATAGAATTACAGAATCTGGGTCACGTCTTTCCTAGTCCGGTGCTCTTTCTACTGGCGGACGATCTCTTCTCAGCACTGCGCAGAGGAGACCTAAAAGCTGCCTTCCATGTCAGTGCCTGGGAGGGAAGTCCCAACCAAGGCCAGACTTACCTTGTCGTCATCTGTGAGCGGCGGCCCCTTCGCTGCACCTGCCGGTGCTTTATCATTATGTTCCAAGGGTTCTGTGGGGACCAAGGGGTCAGATGTCATAGAGGTCTGTGACACTGGGGTGAAGGTGGAGGGTGGGGATTATGTTAAACCCAGACATCCCCGCCTCTCAGGTTCTGTCACTACCTCTCCCACCTTGGGGAGAGGGCGTTGGTGGGCAGCGGTTGGAAAGCCCTGACAGAGAAGAGGAACTAAGGAAAAGTTTCCTCCCTCCAAAGTCCCAACCCCACCTTCTCAGGAACCTCTGGAGGAAGGGAACCAGTGTTTACCGAGGACCGACTCAGCGCCAGATGATGTGCTGGGCGCTTTACCGGCAGTTATATCCCTCCCCACAACAACTTTACGAGGCAGGCACTAAGCATCTCCATTTTCGAGAAGAGGAAACTGGAGCTCAGGGGCTCGACAGGACCGGCCCACGTCACCTAGCTAGGAGGGCGGCACCAGAATTTGAAGCCAGGTCGTCGGACTGAGACAACGCCAACCCCCTCGGCAGCACCAGCCACCACGTTCTCTCGCCCGCGGGCCAGGGTCCCCGGGAGCCCGAGGCCCTGCCCCGCCCGAGCCCAGGCCTGGCCGGGGCCTCCTCGGGGGCACCCTCACCGTGAGAACCAGCTGCCCAGCTGAGCCCGCGT